TTTTTCCATATATTTTCCGTTCTTTGTTTCTTTACTTCGTACAGTCCACGTGTCACTTCCTTTACGCCGCTTCTTCATCCTTTACGCGGGTAAAAAAAAAAAATTATTCTTATCTTCTTCTTCTTCTTCTTCTTCTTCTTCTTCTCACCCGTCGGCCCTCTGTTCTCATATTGGTGTTGAAGAGGGACTTGCGCTTTTGCGACTCTGAAGTGTGCTTGCAGAGAAGTATTGAAACACGTAGTCGACCTTTGCGTGAGAAGCAGTCCACGACTGCTGTTTTCACTTTTCAGTTTTCATTTATCTTCTTCTTCTTCTTCTTCTTCTTCTTCGATTCAGCTTCTCGCTTTAAGACCCTTCGTTTTTTCTTCCATTTCTTCGCCGTATCATCTATGAAATTTATTATGTGATTCATATTTCTCGCTTCGTCTACTTCGTTTCTTCTTCTTCTTCTTGTTTATATTCCTTTTCTTGGTCGTCGCCTGTGCTGCTTGTCATTATCGCCGGTTCTCCGTGTTCCTCGCAACTTCGTCCTGTTCTTCGACAATTTTTATTTTTATTTTTGATGTTTTTTCCTTTAATTCTTATTTTTCTTCTTTTTCTTCTTCTTTTGTCCGCCTCCTTTTTCCTGTAATTCTTTTTCGTCTTCGTGTGTGTGTGTTTTTCGTGATACTCATATCGTGGACCGTGAATCTTAACTCCTCTCGCGTCGCTGGATTCTTGGTGCTTGACAGTGTTTTGTAATTGTTGAACTTATTTTTTCATTGCCGCAATGCATCTTCTTCCAACTCGGTGATAGCATCCGTTGCTAATTGAATAGTCCACCCATATTTGCATCCGCGTTCGCCTTGGACGTGTAGCAATGTCCCTGGTTCACACCACAATGGGATTGTTTGTTGTTAACATGTACACTCATTGCATTATCACTTGTGTGTGTGTGTGTGTGTGTGTGTGTGTGTGTGTGTGTGTGTGTGTGTGTGTTTGTGTGTGTGTGTTTGAATGTGTGTGTGTGTGTTGGGAGAGAGAGAGAGAGAGAGAGAGAGAGAGCTTCATCCTTAGATACACCGAAGGTAGCAACAACGTAAAATTCTTGAACCCGTCGAGCGCTCTTCGTACAGAAATAGCATAATCTGATACACATCCTGCTGTTTTTTTCTCGATCGACACAATCTATATACAATTTGTGCATTCCACGCTTTCATTTACATGTCAAAAACTTAAAGTGTACTGAAAATGTAATACGTACTTGACCGACACAAGCGACATATAAATCACGTCTCTCACTCATCGTTTCATACTCTAAAATCTCATCCTCACCGGTGATGTAACACACACACGCACATACACATACACATACACACACACACACACACATACACACACACACACACACACAACTACCGTCGACTGTGAATGCAGGCAGACACCCATGTACACACTTGTACTACAAGTTGCAATGTGCTTTCTTCTCCCTGCCTCTTTTTGAACGTCGCATTATGCATTCCTCTTTTTCCTTGCCTGCTTTTCTTTTTCTACCGCATATTCCCTCACTCGCTTCGCTCAAATCACGCTCTCTTTCTTGAAACTCCTCTCCCGACTCTTTTACTTCTTCCTTGTCAGACGTTTCTTCGTTCTCACCTGACTGGTCCACCAAGTTGATCACACTTTGACTCTTGTCCGCCTCCTCTTCTTTCTCGTTTTCCACCCCTCTCTCCCTGTTTGCCGTGCTTGGAACCTTTTCATGCTCTGCCGCATTGACACCCTCCAAATCAGGTCTCATTTCTGCCATTGTTGACTCTGAAACTATTTGCGTTCCTGGATCAGTGCATTCCATGTGCACTGGTCCTTTCCTCCCTTCTTTCTCATGCGCACTTTGCTCCCTGGTGGCTTCGACGGTGCCTTGCGCATGTGCAGTGATGGCAGTCGTATGCGACTGCTTGGAATGCGAATCGACATTCCTTGCCACCACTTCCACTCCCTCATGTGCCTGAAATTTTGACCCTTCTTCGTCTAGTGCTTTCTGTCCCTGGTCCTCTTCAATCTTTTCGTCCTTCCCGTCGTCGCCATGCACGTGTGCAATAACTTCCCCGCCTGCTGTTGGTGTTGTCTCACTTCTAGCTCCTACTGCACTGATGCCTTCTGACGGTCTAAGTGTTGGTTGCGGTGTGCTCGATGGACGCTCTGCGAACTCATCTCCATTTGTGTTTTGCATCCTGATATGCGCTTCCTTGTCTGCCACTCTCTCGCCTTCACCTCTTGCTGTTGCTGAATCGATGTTCTTCCTTGCACCCGTGTGTCCCTCAAGGCCTTGACTGCATCCTTGAAGTATGTCGCTGTCGAACATGCAGCCCATTGCATGGTTGTCCACAGACCATATGACGGACTCGATTTCTTGTCGTTAATCGTAGAGCAATACTCGAGAAAGTGATTTTCACGCAGGAATTCGAACAACGAGTTCACTTTGTCTGATATTTTGTGGTCTGACGCATCTTTGTTTGCCTGCTTCACGCGGGTAGACAAGTTGTCCTTCACTATTTCATAAAACCTGCTCCTGAGGACTCTTTCCCTGAATACCCATTTCCCACCCATTCGGCTAGCCATGTGTTATCTGCCATCAATCACATAAGGCTCGAAAAGACCTCGATGCCATACAATGTGATGTTCCCACTCGTGTTCATGTGACTCTTTGTACTTTATGCCTAGAAAGTGAGGTCCTCCTTTCATCTCCTTCATATCATATGATATCTTATCACCCGGTGCAAGTTGTTTGGGGGCGTCGTCCGGGATGTGAAAGATGTGATCATCCTCTATGTCCATCCTATCTGGGCCATCCTCTGATTCCTTATCTGCATGCGCAACATTTTGAGTCTCGTCGTCCGTTGCTCCTTCTATGTGATTGCGAACTCTCCTCACCAGCGAAACGAATCCTGGGGTTCCTTCCTTCATGCCGCACTTGGATGTGCTGCCTTCCATTGCACCACCTGTGTTCGGCGTTGTTCCACGCATCACATTTTTGTCTTGGTACTCGCGATATTGCCGCCAACATCTTCCTCCATCGCTTGTTCACCACCCGAAGCGGACAGCGAAGGCGTTTCCTCTCTCACTGCATTGTGATGCGCATCCGCCAATGGCAGGTCAATCTCCTCATCCTCCGTCTCCTCCTCACTGTCCATAATGTCAAACTGCTTCCCAAACTCCATTACCTCGCAGTAAACCTTGGCATCAAGTTTGTCTCGCTTCCTTTCAAACCATAGGTGTTCACATCGCCCCAAAAATATCTTATTCCACCTCGTTTCGCGTTGTGATATCCTTGCACATGTTGGATTGCTATCACCTTACGATGCAGATAATCTGCATCTGTTGGTATTGTGGGTGCATTGCAGAACAGATAGCTCCACAGAGAGTCCCTCTTCTTGCCGAGCTTCAGAAACATGTCTCGGTTTGCACGATATTGAGGTCAGGGTCGTTCAAAGTGACACCTATTATCCGGATTGTTGACGTGACGATCGATGAACAAAGTGAAGTACTCCATCAGGTTTGAGGAACCATCACATGCGATAACATGACGTCCTGAGCGAAGCAAGTCCCATATTGTTCTTGCCTGCACGTTGCCCAGTAACAGGACACCTTTCCCTTCCTTTGAAAACCAGATGCACAAGTCTTTCATTTTTGCTATCGCCTCGCACGCCGATTACCTCTTTTGTACATCGTACAAATAACTCCTCCACGTAATGCGTGTTGAAGAGAGTGTTCCCGCGAGGCTTTGCGACCGTGACCTTTTTTAAGTCGTTCTCTGTATCGTGCAGCACTATGGTCATGGAGTCACGCACTCTCAACGAAAGGTTCCCAACTTGGGCGCAGGATGCTGCTGCTTCGCTATATCGACGCCAGCGCCCTGAAAGAACTCTTACACCGTCCCACGTAAGACGTTCCTCAACACGGTTTCCTCGACTTTCAATGCGCTGAATACGATTAGCGCCCAATGCGACCCGCACAACACCGTCATCATTTGGCGGAGCTCCTGAAACCTTAGGTCGTTCCATGCGTCGAGATTCTTCAATGGAGCCAAGTCCAATACTGCAAGGTGACAGTTCAGCTTTCTCACGACACGAGTCAAATCTTCTGTCGGGTGCAGTGCGTCCATAGGTGTGATGCAGACAGGAAGATACGTCGTGTGATCTTTGCGCTTGTCCCACATTATGTGCTGAGCATTTGAGCTGATCTGTCTCAGCTCGTCCCTCAATTGGTCAACTGCGCCAAAAATCTCATGCACGAAAAGCTTGAGGAAGTACGGACGCTCCATATATATTGCAGTCGTCACCTTGTGCCCTCCGATATTACCTTTTCCTAGTTTTGCCTCATCCACGCCGCCCAATCGTTTCGGGATATTAATAGTCTTCTTTGCTACGATCTTGGACTTGGTTTCTTCCCATTTCTCTGTCGTCAACCCTCGTGGTGCAAACCGCCTCATTATGGTATCATAGCCAATGAAGAACTTGTCATTCCACTCCTCCTCCGACCTCTGCTCTATCTTGAAGAGGACATAGTTAAACATGCGAACCATATATCTCTCCCTTCTCACCTCCACGTACAGGTCTTGCATGTTCATCCGTTTTTTCACAAATGCCCTTCCGCTCGTGACGACAACATGTCCCACAAGTATTTTCTCGAGGGCCATCTCCTTCTCCCTTGATGTGAAATCGCCGAACACCTTTCATGCGCTCGCGGGGGGATCATTGATGCAAACATAGAAACCCGGCGAGCTTTTGTTGGATTGGACGTAGTGCACCAACACTTTCTTGCCTGTCACCGTCTTCGTTGCAGGGCCCAGTCCTACCGCCTCGCCTGCTTTCCCTTCCTGATCCACTGGTCTCACGCCGTCCTGCCCTGGCACTTTGCCTTTTTCCCATTTGTCAAAGAACTTCTCAACCAAATTCCACACAACCCTGCCGCTCGCCGCAAGACACATGTAGGGCCTCAAAAGGTTAGACCAATTCCTCACAAATCTTTTCGCCAACAACTGGTTCCAGAGCGATGTGTCGGGAGTCATCCGTATAGCTTTCCATACGAACTCCTGATATTGGTCACGCTGTGCAGTCCTCTCTTCCACCGTCTTTGCCTATTGCCAATCACCTTTTGACTCTTCCATACTCTGCCACAGTCCTATTATAGCAGTCACAGCCATTCAAAACGACGACGGGATAGCACGTGTCTCCCTGGTGTTGTCAAACGTGGAGATATACGCATACCCCTCCAAATGGTCATCGTCAAAATACACAACCCGCGCCTTCCAAGAATGCACGCCCCACTTGTGGGCAACATACGATTTTGCAGCGACCAGCCTCTTTGCTGCCTCCGCTGTATATTGGCCGGCCACTGTGTACCAATGGTAGGAGGGAACCTTGTCATCATCCCACTCCTCCGGATTCACACGTTCCCACTGCTTCTGGCCATCCTTCTGCACTTCAACGACAGGAGCAAGAATCCACATGTTTCTGTCCCACTCCTTCTGCTTTTCCGGGTATTCCATTGCGTCCCTGATGGAGAAGACCAACATCTCGTTCAACGGCCTGTGGTTGTATTGCACGCCTTCCTAAGGGTTGGGCAATATTTTGACCACGTCAACGAACACTTGGGTAGGACAATCCATCGCATTGCCATCTTCGTCGTATTCCATGAAAAAACATCTCGTGGTGTCGATAGTGTCGTTGGTCAACGCTCCAGGCTTCGACGCTTTATGTCTCGGGTTGACCCCCGCCGCTTCGTCCCCAGAGTCCGCCACTTCCTTTGTCTCCTCGGCCTTTGCTTTCTTCTTCGGTCTCTGTGAAGATCGAGTTCGTTCACGCTTTTCCTTTGCTGGTTTAGCGGATTGCGCCTCCAAGGATCTCTTGTAAGCCTCCTTTGAGGCCTGTAGGCCGATGAGCTTAGCTTGTCTCCACTTCTCTTCCTCCGCTTTCCCACATCTCATTTTCCTCTACGCATGCACACAGACCTCTGTGTGTCATGCAACATATTGTCATCTTCTGCCGGACCGTCATGACTTGTGGCACGGGAAGACTATTCCCGCCTTTTCTGCGACCCTCTATTCCCGCCGTCGTCGTCGTCCGCCCCACCCTCATCTCCTTCGCTCCCCCCTTCGTAGTTGTCTTCCCGTTCTGCGGCATCCTCGTCACTTGCATCGTCATTTTCTTCTCCTTCACTCCCATCGTCTTCATGGCCACCATCCTCTTGGCCTTCACTATCATCGCCTTCGGCCAAGTCATCCTCCAAGCTTCCCTCTTCATCGTGTGTGCCGTCGCGGGACCGCTGTTTGTCGTCGTCCCCTTCCGTGTCTTTCGCGTTATTGCCATCGGGCCACCGCCCACCGTCCCACTTTCTGAAGCGCGAGTCCTCCTCTGTGTTTTCCTCATCATCCTCATGGTCAGTGGCCCCACCAGCCGGACTCAAAGAAACGCGTGCCACATGTTCTGTATATAATGGTGCCCGCGTTGCAGACACACCCTTCGGCTGGATCAACGAAGCTGATTTGCTCATGCTTTTTGCCTGTGTCGATTCAGCCCCACTTTTGCTCATACGAGCGGATGTTTTCGGCTCCCCACAACTCTTGCCTACCGCCCGTGGCGAGCTCACATATATGGTAGTTCGCAAAATGGCTTGGCCCATCGCCTGCAGCTTGTGACATCGCACCATATCTGCGAAGTCTCCAAGATCACAGTCGAAGGGCACGAAGGGAGTTGACAACTGCAGGCTGTTGTCAATCGTCACGATATGGTTCGACACCTTATACCAATTAATGCGTTTGAGGAACTCGAACGACATTAGCATCACCATCTGCGACGCATCCTTTTTCTTCGACTTGTCGAACGGCGGCATTGATGCAGCGCGGATGCCGTAACCTTGGAACTTATCGACTTGGAGAGACACGAGCTTGTAGTTGTCAGGCACCTCGTGACCGTCGCGGTCGAAACACGTCGTCAAATGGAATCTCATGTACTCCTCGCAAGGCATGTTCTTATCAAACGAGTAAGTCTTGATMCCCCCGCATGGGTAGTAACCGCCACTCTCATCCCACAAGAAAATGCATGGCCCACAACAGGGGACTTTCCTACCAAGGTGCCAATCGATCGCCCAATACTTCTCTTGGAACGTGACCGCCCTTCCGACAACCTTCGGCGTTGAGACCCCTGACGAGCAAGCAACTGCATAACACCAACACCGCATCCAACACCAACACGCCTGTAATATCTGCGTAACCTTTGCCTATAACATCCCTCACATCATCCGGAGAAGAAGAGGAAGATGAAGGAAAGGAAGAAGGAGGAAGGGGAAGGAGGGACTGGTGACGCCGGACCCTCCGATGGTCCAACGGCTCGACGGCGCCGGACTTTCAAAGGGCCTGTGCAACCTCTGCCTGCAATCTGTCGCATTGTGTAACGTCGACGACGTGGCCGCAGGCCCTGTTCAACTGCTGTCCGTAATCTCGGTGCAACGCCTGCCTGTAATATGTGTGTAACAACCACGTGCAATCCCGACACAACCTTTGCCTGTTATCTCTCACACTCTCCAATCTCTGCCTATAAGCTCTCTCCCTGTGTAACGTTGACCACGAGGTGGCAGACCCTGCGTAACCTCTGCCTGTAATCTTTGTCACAGCACCCGGAGAGCAAGAGGAAGAGGAAGGAAAATAAGGAGAAGGAAGGAGGGTCTGATGACGCCGGGGGCCCCGATGGTCTGGCGCCCCGATGACGCCGGACCATCGGACGGATGGAGCACCGTGTATCCTCTGTGCATCCGGACAACAAGCCGTCTGCCACAATAGTTGAAACAACAGCAACATCCGAGATAAGAACAAAAACCGATACGACAGCAGCACACGTCGAGGCGCCGGTCCATCAGAGGGTCCGGCGACGGGCCTTCAGAGTAACAATCGAACAAACGAAAGCACACAACACACACACATAACAAAGGGACTGCGTACCGTACCTTTGGATGCCATCTCCAATTGCTGTCGTGGTGGTGCCCAAAATCGGATATGTCAGGACGTTGGCTGCTGGGCAATGCAAATACACAATCCATGAACCAAATCTTGATCCCACAACTAGCGCTCACCGCCCAGACTACAAATGGCAGATTCTATCTACACTACGCACGTGCACCCGGGTGGCGTCGGCAACTTTCCCAAGTGCGAGCAAATCTCTGCATCATCACCGATTCGATTCGAGTATCCAAGCCAATCAATCAATCAATCAACCAATCAATCTATCAATCAGCCTATCAGTCATAAAAACATAAAACTAAAAAAAATATTGACTGATTTCGAATCCATTGGATACTTCTTCTCCCTTTATTTATTTATTGATTGATTGATTCATTGAAAAAAAAAAAAAAAGCCTTGCTGGCTGCCTCTCGGTCCTATCACTCGGCGCCCTCCTCGTCCAACTCCAAACACACATCTATCAGCAGCAGCTGCACCCACTACGGTCCAGCGTCGTCGAGGCGCCAGACCATCGGAGGGTCCGGCGCCTCGACGACGCCAGACCATCGGAGGGTCCGGCACGGTTTCGAACAGCAGCAACCCCATAGCGGTATCGTACAGCAGCAGCAGCACCACCGGCAATACAGCGGCATCGAACAGCAGCAGCAGCAGCTGCACC